ATGTGCTTTACACAATTGATGTATGTATGGATTGTGATAAGAGTTGTATGCACCCCTAATAAAACGATTAAAAAAAAGAAAGAAAATGAAAGAAACAAAAAAAAAAGAGTTAGTGTTTCAGAAACCCACAGGGCCAGATCTACTCTCCCCACTGGGTCGATATGAGTCTGAATCAACTCAGTGGCAGTGAGTATGAGCTGGAATCCACTCCAGGGAAGTGGGTTTCGCTGTTGCTTCCAAGTGAGGAAGATCCTGCGGAAAACAGGAAGGACCGTTCTTGAGACATGGATGAGGTTGGTTTGCAGCAGAATGTTTAACGATTGTGTTAGTCTGGGTGGACTAGAGAAACGAATTCATTGACACTCATACGTGTAAGAAAGACCTTTATATCAAAGAGTAATTGTATAGTAAGAAAAGACCCCAGCCTAGTCCATCCATAAGTCCATTCAGCCCAGATTCAAGTCCATAAGTCTGATATTAGCCCATGTGCCCGATACTAGTCCACAAATTCCTCTTCAGACTCCGCAACACATGCAACGATGCCAAATGCCGGAAAATCACAAGCTGGTAGGTGGAGAATCTTGTGGATCCAATGGCGGTGGAAGCATCTCCAGGGCTCTGGCTGCCATCAGCGTGGCTCCATGTGGCTTGTCAACAAGGTGAAGCAGAGAGAGGAAGTTCCCAGAATCCCCATGAGAAGGCCACGCCCACAAAGAGGGATCATCAGGCTGTGACCAGCTGGACAGGCTAGGCTCCACCCCTTCATTCTTCTATCTAGTTGACATGAAATTGTGTAACTACGACAATGATATAGCAGAGGAAGACCTTTAATGAGTTGGATTAACACAGTCGTTTCAACAGTGGAGTCAACAAAACAACTGAGGGTGGCCACAGGACCCAGCAGTGGCTCGACGGGACTTGGGAAAGGTGTGTGTTGGGGTTAAAAATCCTCTTATCATACTTATTCATTCTGTATGCTGAGTAAATAAAGAAGGTGGATGATATAAAGAAAAATACAGCACCAAGATTGGTGGAAGGCTTATTACCTTTTGATATCCAGATGACACAACCTTGCTTGCTGAAAATGAGAAATACCTGAATCCCTTATGATAATCAAGGTTTGCAGTCTTCAGTATGGATTGCAACTCAATGCAAAGAAAACCAATAATCCTCATGCCTGGACCATCGTGGTCAATGGAGAAAGGATGGACGCTGTCAAAGGATTGCCCCTTCCTTGGCTATACAACGGATGCTCTGGAAGCAGTAGTCAAGGGATCAAACGACACAGTGCACTAGGTAAGTGTGCTGCGCAAGAGCTCTTGAAAGGGTTGAAAAATCAAGGACGTCACCGTGAGGACGAACGTGTTCTTGACCCAAGCCATGGTATTTTCAGTCGTCTCACGTGCATGTAAGAGTTGGACACGGCATAAGGAGCACGGAGGATGAGCGGATGCACTGGCATGATGGGCCTGGGGAAGAGTGCTGAAAACGCCATGGACTGCCAAAAGAACAAACCAGTCTGTCTTGGATGCAGAGCCGCCAGGACAGCGAAACGTTGTCTCCCCTGCTTTGGACGTGGCGCCAGGAGAGACCAGTCCCTGGAGAAAGACAATGAAAAGGAGGACGCCCCTCGACAAGATGGTTTGACACGATGGCGCCAACAGTGGGCTCAAACCATCAGTGCGGATATTGCAGGGCCGTCGTACATCGGCTCATAAGGAGTCGGGACCCACTCAACGCCCACCAAGCCTGCGGCCCCGAAGTCACCAAACCACCGAGAGGCGAAGTCCTCCTACTGTCCTAGAGTGATCGAGTGGGTGTGGCGAAACGAGGGGGGGGCGAGGGCCGACCCGGATGGGAAAGGGCGAGCACTTCCGTTCTTTGTTCTGTCCCGAGTGTGTGGGTTTGGGTCCGGGTCCAGCGGGGCCTGGTTCGCGCCCGGCCCCCCCACTTGTCCCGTCCCGCCCCCAGGGTGAGTCTGGCCGCCCCCGGGGCTCGCGGTGAGACAGAGGCTGTGGTCGCCGGGGGAGGGGGATGTCCGTGTCGCGGGGTCCCCGGGCTCTCCACACAGGCTGCGGGCAGGCGCCTCTGCGGCCGCACTCCCCGGTGTCAGAAGTTGTGCCCCACCGGCGATCTCCATCCCCGCCCCACCGCGGACCCCGAGCGGGGAGGGCAGGTGGTCGTGGTCGCGGGGCTCCGGTTCTGGTGTTTTGCACAAACTGCTCATCTCGAACCATTTAAAAGTTCCACGTTCCGGGAGAGCCGTCATTCGTTTTCAAAAACCATCTGGTGCCAGCGACCCTCACTTTACAGTAGTTCATGGAAGCGCTTTTATTGGACGGCCACTTGCCCGGCAGGGCAGCACAGGTCCGTTTGCACTGATGTCTGAGGATCAGGAAGTCAGCCGCCCTCTAACGTGTGCACGTCCAACGAGCTCTGGGAAGGAGTACAAACTCGGTGTCTAGACACGGTGGCTCGCAGGAACCGGTGAATCGGGAACCAACTAAAACAAGTCCCTTAAGGGTGGGGATACGGCCGTCTCTGGCTCCCCGCCGCCATGGGATTAGAATCCTTTCTCCATGTTTTGAGGGGCACACGCATGTCGACGGTAGGATGAGCAGGAAAGTGAACTTGGACTCGAGGGGACTTTTTAGGGGACCTTGTCTTCAAGAAGAGAGGACCCTGGAGGGTGAGCATTATTGTGTCCTCACGTTCATCCGACGATAGGATGAGCGGTCATGTGAAAGAAGAGTCTATCGGGGAAGGCTCCAGGGAACCGATTCTCAGTTTCCTGTCCAAAGCTCTCTCTAGTGACTGAGAGTGGGGCAATGATGCTGGGCAAGGCGAGAGAATCTAACAAGTCAGCTGGCTGAGCTTCGTCTTTGGGGTGGCAGTGTGACCTGGAGAACCTTCCGGTCTCTTCTCTGCAGGTGTAATGCAAATACCAGTTGTGGTGGTCCTGGTGTTTATTAGCGTGTGCCAATTTATTTATTTTACTATCTAGGTTAGAAAGGAAATTTACACGAATATTTTCAATGCCTCTTTTTCTATTTTAAACCATACAGCTTTGGTGTCAACAAATGTCAGAATTCCCAGAAACGTGCAACCGAGGCTGCCGGATTCCCCATTATCGCTGCTTTGCCCTCAAGGACTGAACCCCCAAAGAAGGAAAGACTCCAGCAGGTAAAGCTGCCCATGGCCTTCTGTGCTGCCAGGCTGCCTCCTTCCCTGTCTCTGGGAGCAGCTCCAGGGGGTGAGGCTGGCTGCCAAGCAGGAGAGGGGCCCTGCCTTGGCCTGGCGCTGTCAGGGTGCAGTGGCCATTTCCTCTAACATGAGGAATGCTGACGAGTGATCCCGACACCTGGGATTTGTTCTCCACAATAGTTATCCCAGCTGTGAGGAGGGAGTGTGCCCCTTTGTCTCCGGAGGTCGGAGCCTCGGACTTTTCCAGTCTACAGAAAGTTTGGCCTGAGAGCTTGCTGCTCAGTAGTCCTGGAAATTATAATACCCAAACCCACCCCCATTGCCATCGAGTCAATTCTGACTCACTGAGACCTTGCAGAAATGACAAAGGGTGATGAGTGGGTGGGGGGGGGGAAATGTTGGCCAGGGCGTAGTGGAAGGGACCCAGCAAGGAGATGATGGTGAAGAGAGGACACGTCAGCTGGATCACCAAGGGGCCTGGCTCATGCCTGACTCAGCACCTTCCTGCTGTGTAGTGCTGCGGTTGTGGAGCTCTACACCCTCTTGGTGCCCACAGAATGGAGTTCTCTGAACTCTCGTTCACTGGTGCAGATGGATTCAGACAGCGCCCTTCCCGTTTTGGTGCCTTCAAAACAAAACTCACTGCCATCAATTCAATCCCACTCGCAGCAGCCATATAGGACAGAGTCGAACTGTGCCTTTTGGCTTCCAAAACATTAAGCCTTCTCTTTCTCCTGGTGTGGCTGGTAGGTTTGAACTGCTTACCTTGTGGTTAGCCGTTCAGTATATATTCCAGTACACCACCAGGGCTTCAACTTGTTCCAATTCTTGGAACACAGTTGACACTAGACTAATATGTATAATATGACCAAACACATGCACAGATAAAGAGAAGAAGATGGACAAAACCCAGGTGTGTCCTGCCGTCCCCGTCCTCCCCCCACCGTGCTCTTGTCAAGTATAAGGATACTGGTGGATGCTAGACCTCTTCTAGACAATAGTGATTCTTTCTGTAGCATTTAAGTGTGAAGTGGAAACTTCTACTTGGGATGCAAACCTTGTCGTCTAGGTACTAATGTTACAATTACTCCATTAGAGACACAGACAGCTGGCCTCTTTCAAGAATCTTCTGTTCTAAGAAAAATATTGATTTCTGCTTCAGGGACTTATATTCTGATCCAAGGGCATGTATTGCAAGAGAAGGGAGGTTAGAAGGGGACCAGGATTGGCCTCTTAGATCCTGGTGGCTCTGTACACCGACTCTGTCTAATGAGACTACCTCCAAGGCCACAACAAGGCCGGGGCTCCTCAACATCCCCCCTTTGACGGAGATGGATCGGGAAATTGTCTTAGAAAGAAAGGGTGGCAGGAGGAATTTATTTTATGAGCTCCACCCATTCTCGGTGAGACAGGTGTTGCTTCCCAAAGGTTACTAAAGTGAGAGATGGCTCTGATCCTTCTTCCTTTAAGGATAACACCTTGTTGTTATTGTTAGGGGTCTTTGGGCTGCCTCTGACTCGTATCAGCTTTGTGTGTAACAGAACAAAACATTGTCCGGGCCTCAGCGCTTCTGAGCCCATTGTCTGAGCCATGTTGTCGATCCGTCCCATGAAAGAGCGCTTTCTTCTCCACGGACCTTCCGCGTACTAAGCATAATGTCCTTCCGTCATCGGTCCTTTGTGATGACTTGTCTAAAGGAACCAAGACAAAGCCTTGCCAGGCTCCCGTCTCCAGCTCGTTCTGGCCGTACTTCTTCCAAGGCAGGTAGGCTCTTCTGAAGCCCACGATGTGTTCCGCATGCTTGGACCACACCTCAGGTCCAGTCAGTCAGCTCTCCAGGCTTCCCTCTTCCTTGTCCAGCTTTCGGGGGCATCTGAGACCATTGAAAACGCCCAGGCTTGGGCCATATGCCCCATAGTCTTCAACGCGATCTCTTTGCTCTTTTAACACTCTAACGAGGTCCTGTACAGCACATTTTCCCAGTGCAATCCATTATTTGATTTCTTTCCATAGGCCCTTGGTTGTAGATCCTAGCAGGATGAGATCCTGGGGGATGTTTTTTGAAAGACCTGCATCATTATGCCTTAAGGGTTGCTAGGCGACGGAGCCGACTTGAGGGCCGAGCTGTGTGTCCCGCTGGTTGGGCTGGTTGCAGAGGTTTTCTGTCGGCATGAGGACAATTTCTGAACTCCGCATGACAGCTAGAAAATTGGCACACTAAAATGTCTATTAGCCAGAAACCTCGTAGAGTACAGTTTTCTATCAAGGCTATTGCTTGTGAGGTAGGGTGTTTTGTTGGTTTTTTCCCTTTCCTGTTTTATGATTGGTTGGCTTTGTCCATTGCCCCAAATATGCTTAAACATTGACTTGCTATGTGCATGTTTTTTGCATTCTCGATGAGCACTGTTTACAATTTTACCCTCCTCCCTTTAGATACACCCTTTTCAGTTTCAGGTGTTGCTTAGTATTTCTTCCTGCTCATGTTGTTATTTAGCTTTGGGGCTCCTCGTGTTTGGCTGCTGAGAACACCCTTCAAAGTGTGCCTAGAGCCGCAAGTGGGTGTTGTTACAAGCAACAGGAGGCTGTTGGTGTTCCTGGGGCTTGCCTCATTCCCAGGAGTAGCTGATGTGTTCACAAGGGTCTCTGAGGCCCAGCGGCACGTTGCCTCTTCCTCTTCTTGCACACTGACTGAAATGCTAGCGCCCCTCTCTCTATACTCAGAGGTTGCGTTTGCTTTGGTTTTTGTTGTTGTTGTTGTTGTTAATATCTTTGAACTTTTGCTTCTGCAGTGCTTCCTCATTCTCATTCGAAACCTGCCTCCTGCTGAGTCTGCACACAGGAAACCAACGTGCCGGCCCTTCTCGCCCCACCCATGGAAGCTCAGGCTGCTCCTGTATCTCAGGAACCTCAGACCCTGCTTCAGAGTGGTGAGGAAGAGGGGCCTCCTTCGTTCTTTGGATTCGTTCGTTGATTCAACTGTCTTACTCACCAGACACTAGGTGTGCTGCGCTTAGGCTCCACTCCTCGTGGCGCTGTGTCCAACAAAACAATCCTGCCCTGTCGCGCGCCTTCCTCACGAGCAGTGCCTTTCTGATTGGCTGTGTTGGCGCCGCCTGTCACAGATGCTGTCTCGTTCATCTTGTTGGAGATCTCCCTCTTTTTGGCTGAGCCTTCACTCTGCCAAGCATGGTGCCCTTCACCTGGCGCAGGCCCTTCTGAAGAACGTGTCCGTCGAGTCTGCCTATTCGCTTCTTAGGAGCCTTCTGGCTGTGCTTCTCCCAAGACGTGTGCTTGTCCTGGCAGCCCGTGGCGTATTCAGTATTCTTCCCCAGCCCCATAATTCAAGTGCATCAATTCTGTTCGCTTCCTTACTCATTGTCCAACTTCTGCGTGCCTATGAAGCAACGAGGTTCCGTGTCTTGTGCTAGGTGCACTTTCGTACTCGGAGCACCAGATAAACTACAGGTGTGGGGATCCTAGGATGTTTTCTTTAAGTCTTAAATCAAGACATGCTCTTCGGGAACTTGACTTTAGAGGAGTCCCTTGGGGATCATAGCTCACAGACGGAGGATCCGATGGATAGAAGCCTCTAAAGCAATTCTGTTTTGCTTTCATAGACTGCTGACCTTAGCGTCTGTTTCTGCCTTAAGGGGTATTGTTCCTGTTTATCAGGAAAAAGCAGAATCTATTAACTCTAGGGGTTTGGTGTCTAAGATACCCTGCTGGGGGACAAATACATAAATTTCAGAATTATAGAAAAGATGTCTGATCTAGCACACGAATGGGACACATTCATACTTATAGATTTGGTGTCGGGGTGGGGCCAGAGAAGACCTATGTGTGTTGGCTGTGGTCGGACTTGGAACCTTGCTAGCTTTCCTCTGACCTAAGAGCTCGAGTTCAGTGATGTGGAAGAACACGTGGGACAGGCTAGCCAGTGTCTGCCCACGCTTGGGAAACTGGGCGAATCACAGCGTGTGGCACGTTGCACTACGGGAAGCATGACTGGAGAGAAAGGAAGGGACCTGGCACAGAGAAGCCAGGAACGATTAGCCCTTTGGATGCTTTTCAGGCAGGATAAACCTCTGTCGTAGTCAACTTTAATAGCCACAGAGGAAGGGGACGTGGGCCGTAGAAGGGAGCGGGTCCTAGATTGTTCCAGGATGCCTTGAGGATGTTGTGGATCTGAAAGTCCATGGGTCAGGAGGCCAGAAAATGGACTCACTCACGGGCCCTTTTATTGTCCATCAGCTCTTCCTTCTCCCAAAGTCCCAGCCTTTTCTGACAAGGACGGCTTCGGGAATGAGATGTTGGCGGCTGCACTCCTAAAGACCAAGTCCCAGGTGAGTTACGGCTCCCTCCGTCCCTTTTGGTAGAAGTCTTTTGTGCAGTAACATCTATTCAGTGCCATAAGCCATGACCCCCTCTTGCAGGACTGAGCGCACTTGCCTGTGAACTAATGGGGCTTTAGAGTGTCTTGGGCCCTGTCGATCTCCATTGTCACCTCCCCCTACTTTTCTAATACCCATTATTCGTTCCTGTCCCAAATTATGTTTTGCTATTGCCAGTTGTGCCCTTCACTCAGAAATTACATGAAGAACTTGTTGTTTCAGGACTTGGTGACATTTGAGGATGTGGCTGTGTACTTCATCCGGAAAGAGTGGAAGCGTTTGGAACCTGCTCAGAGAGACCTCTACAGGGATGTGATGCTGGAGAATTACGGAAACGTGTTCTCGCTGGGTAAGGAGTACCGCTTTCTCCCCAAGACTCCCTTGGTATTACTTTGTTGTCTTCTTTTTTTATTAGTCGCTATGTAGTTGAAAATGTTCAACTAAGAGTGGACCAGTCTAAGAACATTCTAACCACAAAAGCACAAACTCACCTTTGTAGAATACGTTGTAGTTTATCAAGAGCCCACCTATGAGAGTAAGTCAAAGAGCATTGCTGCAAAGTCATAGAAACAGTTACTAAACAATAAGAAGATCCCACTGTGAAGCTGTTCTTCTACATGCCCTCCATCTCGGTCTGCGTACGTCTCACTAAAGGTGCTGTTTCCAGCTTTTCAGCCTTCCCTGAAGAACTGTGCTCTTCTTCCACACTCACATCATACTCCTTTACAGTGTTCTTTTGAGTTTTGGGAACAGCCCCATCCCCATCCCCGCTCAAGGGGGGGTGTGGGGGGTGGAGGTCCAAATCAGGACTGTAATGTGGATGGGATATGTTTTCTTCATGAAATTCTCATAGGACAGACCTGTTACCCTTGAGGAATGTGCAAGGGCATTGTCCTGAGGGGAAAAGCACCGTGGCACACGTCTCCTGGCCTGTGTCCCACCAGCGCAGTTGTCCATGCCCTACGACTTCTTCAGCATAAGCAGTTGTCCTGTGCCCTTTGCAGAAATCCTTCACACCACCTCTTGGACATTACACACACACACAAAGGCAAGCAAGCGAATTACCATAATCTAGGGAGCTGACCTTTTAGAATTTAACTAGCTCAGTAGGTCCCATCAGAAGCCTCTGCTTTGATTGACCCCTTAAACATTTAAAAAAAAATCTTTTGAAGACACGCTAGGGAGTCCAAGACAAGTGTATTGCTGAGAGAATGTGCGACCACCCCTGATCCCAGAGCGTGTTGAAAGCATGTTTGTCTGGAAGAAGCCTGTGCGTGAGTGCACTGGCAACATAGTAGCAGTGCTTTTCTATGTCCCCCGTTCCTATTGTCATTGATCCCTCACAGTAGCAGCAATTGAGGTGACCAGTAGTATCTTCTTTTTATAGATAGAGGAGAGGACTGAGGTCTTACCTGATACTAGATACGTAGTCATAGAGCTGCTAAGTGGCACAACTTTGTGCTTTTAACTCCAAATCTTGGCCCTTTTCCCCCTATTGTTCCCAGCACTTAGAAAGTAGTCCTGAGACTTCTCCAAAGGATTAGCATCATGGGACCCCTGGACCTGTGAGGTGCTACTCTGCTCAGATAAGCGTTCTGGGGCTTCACCTCCTACTGCTCTGTTGAGTCCCAGGATCTCATGCAGCCTCTGCTCCTGTAGGTATTCTGCCATGTTTAAGGAGGCCTACTACAGCAGCTTCTTAACCTGTGGGACGTGGACTATTCATTCTCTGTATCTCACTCCACTTCTAGTGAGAGCATCAGAGGTCCTCCTACCCCCGTGCGTGGTCTCCCCACACAGTACCTTTCTCTTCTCCACAGACACTGGGTCTGGCATGGAGCTCTGGGACTGCTCATGATGAGCAGTATAAATTCCCTGTCTCTTGTCTTTCTCCCGCCTGGGGTTCCCATTTCTGACTCCTGACATGCTCTCAGCTGGAATGGGAAGAAGAGCCGAAGGTCCTAGCTCTGAAGGGAACTGAGAACGGAGGTCCTGAAAGGTGCCTCTTCCAGTGAGGGAGAAACTGCTATTTCTGATGCTTGTTGCCCTGTATTTACTTTTAAAATATTGATAGCAAAAAACTACCTAGAACTTTTGCCTGACATTTCTTTTAGAGACCCAAGTTACCACAAAAACTGCATTAAAAATGTGCTGGAAAACTCGGTTTATACACGACTATACATACACGTATGCTCTTTCTTCTCTAAGGAACAGTGACATTTGCATTTTTTTCCTTTTATACTAGATGGAGAGAACAGAAGTGAGAATGATCAAGAAATGTCTAAAGATACAGGATCCCACGGGGTTCTATTGGGAAGACTCCAAAAGGACATTTCTCAGGGTCTTAAGTTTGAAGAAGCCTGTGGACACGAAGTCAGTCTAAAGCGGCAGCTGGAGAACTCCTCTGGAGAAAGATTGCCTAGGAAGATAAAAGACTTTAATCAAGTTACAGCGGAGGCGAAGCTAACCCCCATGGGCAAGAGATGTGAGAAATATGATTTGGGGGATAGCTGCCCTGTGAGTACCAACCTTACTTCACATCAGAGACTTCCGATGGGAGACCGACCCCACAAGTGTGATGAGTGTAGCAAAAGCTTTAATCGAACTTCAGACCTTATTCAGCATCAGAGAATCCACACTGGGGAAAAACCCTATGAATGTAATGAGTGCGGGAAGGCCTTCAGCCAGAGCTCACACCTTATCCAGCACCAGCGAATTCACACTGGGGAGAAACCTTATGAATGTAACGATTGTGGGAAGACTTTTAGTTGCAGCTCTGCTCTTATTCTGCATCGGCGAATTCACACTGGGGAGAAACCTTATGAATGCAGTGAATGTGGGAAAACCTTCAGCTGGAGCTCCACCCTTACTCATCATCAGCGGATCCACACTGGAGAGAAGCCCTATGCTTGTAATGAATGTGGGAAGGCCTTCAGCAGGAGCTCCACTCTTATTCATCATCAGCGGATCCACACTGGAGAGAAGCCCTATGAATGTAATGAATGTGGGAAGGCCTTCAGCCAGAGCTCACACCTGTATCAGCACCAGAGGATCCACACTGGAGAGAAACCCTACGAATGTATGGAATGTGGAGGGAAGTTTACCTATAGTTCAGGCCTTATTCAGCATCAACGAATCCACACCGGGGAGAATCCCTATGAATGTAATGAATGTGGGAAAGCCTTTAGGTATAGTTCAGCTCTTGTTCGCCATCAGAGAATTCACACTGGAGAGAAGCCCTTGAATGTAATGGGTATGAGCAAAAGTTCTCTCAGAGTTACTGCTGAATTAAACATCCAAGAGTCTGCATGAAAGACCACCACACACCAGTTTTCCTCACGCCTGAATCTAAAAAGCACCTGCCTTACTATCAACACAGTTTAGGATATGTCCCCTCCAACTTAAACCTTTCACTTAGTTAGTTGTTAGGTTCCGCTGAGCCCATTCTGACCCATAATGACCCTACGTGTAACAGAAAAAACAACCGCCCAGTCCTGCGCCATCCTCACAATTGTTCTCATGTTTGAGCCCATTGCTTCAGCCCCTGTGTCAATCCATCTCATCCGGGCCTTCCTCTTTATCGTTGCCCTCTGCTTTACCAACCTTGATAACCTCCAGGGACCTGTCTCTCCAGATCACACGTCCAAAGTATGTGAGATGAAGGCTGGCCATCCTGGCTTCCAACCAAGGGGCATTCTGGCTTTACTTCTTCCAGGACAGATTGGTTCGTTCTCTCGGTAGTCTGTGGAACTTAAAATGTTCTTTGCCAGCACCATAATGCAAGTGCATTGATTCTTGGGCCTTCCGTACTCAGTGTCCAACTCTCACATGCATATGAGGTGATCGGAAATACCATGGCTCAGGTCAGGTGGAACTTAGCAATTGGAATTATTATCCAACAGGGATCAGCCATCTAGTGAGTGTCTCCAGAATGATCCCAGCCTCATGAAAACGTGTAAGGCAAGCAGCAGTGTTAAGTGCTGGCAATAGGGAGGCTCCAAAACTAGTCACCCGCTTGGTCAGGGAGTTTGCACTAGCCCATTCTTTTCACACCAGAGGAGCCTTTTCCGCCACGGTGGGCATGGAAGCCCAGTAGGAACAAGAAGTCCAAGGGTTCCACAGTTAGCGGCATAGGTGGTGGTGGGATGAGTGTTCTGAGTATTTTAGGGGAAATGGAAGCTCTATTTTAGAGCCACAGTTCCTGTTCTAGCATTAAGCTTTTATAGGAAATACATTGTTTTCATAAATTATGAAAATTTGGTTCTGACATGTATATTTTACTGAGAGGGAGGGGAAAGACCCTAAGAGAGGTTTCCTATGATGTCTGTGTCCTTTAGGATTCATGAAACAGCTTGACCAAGTTTCTAACATCAGTCATAGCAGTATTGCCAACTAATGAGTCTAATCCGAGGATAGCGTATCAAAAAACCTTTAGCATTGATAGCTGTTTCACTTTCCTCTTCCTCCCTTTATTTTTTTCTTCCCCGGTTCTCCGATGAAAGTGATTTAATCCAAACCCTTAGTTTCTAAGGATGCTTTTAAGGCACTTTATAGCCTTGCCCTCTGTCACCTGTTACATCTGGCCCCAGACCTCTCCTGACTCTACTTTTGACTCCTTAACGTCCAAGGATTAATACAAATAGGAAGGTCCCAGAGAAGGGAGACTGCTGAGCCTGGCAGTGGTGCTCTCTGCGGGCTTAGAACTGTGTTTTCTTGACCGAAGGGATGATCTTTCCCGCTATTTCCCAGCCCTGCTCATCCTGTAGTATAAATGAAGTGCACTATTAAACAGAATAGTTTTTCAGAAGAAGGATTGAGTGTGTGTTTGTGTAGGGCCCAAATCTGTTCATTTACAGCAGAGAACTGACCATACGTGGAATCTTTTGAAATTAACCTTTGCTTTTATGGATGAGCACTTTTGACAGATGTGGCCTCCTGTAGATAGTACCACAGACTATCTACAGTCACGCTGTTAAATGACTTCCTCAGACCAGAGTTCACAGTTTAGAGGTACAGTCTTCTCTCACAAGACACCACTTCAGGCACCAACCACAAGTCCAAGGGGTCCTAGAGCTCCCTTGCATTGGATGATTACTTCCAAACGCAGGCCTTTCCATGGCTCCCTCGGGTTCAATAGTTTGCCGGAATAACAGTTCAGGCAGCCACTGTGTGTATTACTGCAGTTCTGTTATAGCGAAAGGGTAAGAGGTCCTAGATGGCAGTTTCCATGCCCTCTCCCAGTTGTGCCAGGGTTCATCAACTTCTCAGGACATGAATGTACAGAAACGCTTGTCAGAAAATCTCACCAAGTTAGGGTTTCCAAAATTTATTCGAACACTTGTAATGAGCACAATGGACTCATTGGCCTCGTAATTGAACTTGGTCTCCTTTCCCTGGAAGTCTGGCTACTAAGGTATGGTGGCTCTTGTCAGCGCTGAACAGTTTACACTTAAAAGTGAAAACAGTTTTATCGAGAGAACCGCTGGCTGGCAGCACATTGGAATGACAGGTCACGAAGTGTTTGAATGTTTTGAAGGAGGTGAGCCTTCTACACACAAAAAGGGAGACAGGAGTAATGAGCACAATCATGTGGTTACAAGACAGTGTTTGGTTCCCACTGAGCAACCCTGCGCACAACAAACACCGCCTGGTCCTGCTCCATCCTCACAATTGTCATGTCTGAGCCCATTGTCGCACCACTTGTCAACCCATCTGCCTGAGGGTCTTCCTCTTTTTCGCTGCTTCTCTGCCAACCATGATGTCCTTTCCCAGAGACTGGTCTAATATTTTATAGGACAGGGTAGAACTACCCACTTTAAGGAAGTAGCCTCAAATTCCACAGTATGGCTGGTGGTTTCAAACTGCTGACCCTGTGATTAGCAGCCCAATGTGTAGCCCACTCAGCCACCAGGGCCGCTGTGATTTGAAAGCGGCTCAATGGCAGTGAGTTTGGGTTTGCTTTTTGGTCTGTTAACATGTCCACAGTGCGGGAGACGTCTCGCCACTGCGCTTCTATGGAACGTCCTGGCTGTACTTCCAGGACAGATTTGTTCTTTTGGCAGTGCATCACATTCCTCCATTCTCTGGTCTTCCTTATTCAATGTCCAACTTATTATCACAAGCAAGATAATAGCAGGTTAAAATTTTGTGACGTTTGCAAATAGAGCAAACACACACTTCCCAAAGTTCTCCTAGCAAGCGATTTTCTGAAACAGACTTCCTGGGGCATACAGTGTAAGCACTGATGAGCTCAAAATCATCCTGGCAAACATTCCTTCATAAGCCACATCCTTTGCCTTCTTTGGTTGCTGAGTTTGGTTAAGTTACTATAAGCTGCTTGTCACCAGGCTGTAAGCCACAGTTGCTTAAGAGGTTTTAGGACAAGCTGATGTTGAATTTTTGAAATGGAGCTTAGCGTCAGAGCTAGTTTGGTTTTAATCATGCCAAGCCCATGGTGGCTCATTAAACTATAGAGTTATTTTGATCACTACTCGGTACTTTCTTCTGTAGAGACTGGTTGGAACTTTAGATGGCTGCTCATCAAGGCTTTAAGACCCCAGACACTACTTACTACCCGTTCCAGTCCAGTTAGAGGGATGGTCATTAGCGGCAGCTGGGTACCCCCTCCCAGCTTGGGTTCTTCTCTGTGTCAAAGCCCAGGCACTCCACTTCCATGATCCTTTGGTTAGCTGTATGTGGAGGATGGCTATGTTGAGAGGAACAGCTTAGCATGAAGAAAGGGTTAAGTCAGGATGTAAAATCTGTTTTCTCTAAAGGGATAGCTTCTGAAACATGCATAACCACATCAGGAATTTAGTAGTTTGTTGATAGGCATTTCATAATTTGATTAGTATTAATGATACTATTAGGGCAATTGAACTTATTTGCAGTATCCAATGTAACCAAGAACCAGTACCATTAGATAGCCAGATAAAAACAAGGGAGCCTGGCAGCGGGCATCCTGAATGGAGCCGGATGGCCCTCTGGCAGATCTGATGTCTCACTCCCCTGAAGAGTCTTCCAAGTAGCTATGGTGCACATTTCTTGTGCTAGAAGGAAATCCAGGGTGACGTTACCCAGTACAACTTTAGGGAGGGATTCCAAAACCTCTACTGAGCTTCTAGTCCATGAGCAATGTCTCTGGCTATGTAGCAGATAAGTCGTGACTAGATCTCTCGGCTTCCAGGATCAACCAGTAAAAAGGGCTCAGAGGCACATTCCCCAGTCTCCAGGCCCCTGTCAAAGGGCTTTCAGTAGAATCTCTGAGTCTCCTCTTGTATTCAAATAAACTTGCAAATCACTGGTTGAGTGTGCTTTCACCATGGGGTGAATATTGAAAGAACCCCTAGGAGGCCTGTCGTGCCTTGGCTCACCATATTTCCTTCATCCAGGTAGTGCAGGGCCCAAGGACACAGTTCATTACTTGGGGGACCCTGGTGGTGTTGTGGGGTAGGTGTTGGGCTACTAGCCACAAGGTTGCTGGTTCAGACACACCTGCTGGTCTATGGGGGGAAAGACGAGTCTGGCTGCTCCTGCAAAGATGGCTAGTCTAGCTCAGCAAATGGATTTTGGACTCCCACTGCCCTCTATAGCCTTTTGCAAATTGGGTATTCAGATCAGGTTATTTCTGATAAAATTGGGGAGCAAATGCTTCTATTATGTGCTCAAGCCAATGTTCTGTTGAAAAATTGTTATAAATCAATACCTCCCACCCTAAGATAGTCACAGAGTTTAGTACAAGGGGGAGCGTGAGCCAAGGTCATTCCTTTGGGTTACTTGATAAAATTCTCCATGTTGGAGCAGATAGCTAATTCGGCAAACCCGATCACTTCTGCATGTTGCAAAGCAAGGTCTCAAGTATTGCATGGCCTGGTCAGGTTATATTAAAACACGATGCTAACGATCTGGGAGATGCCATTGTAGTGTACTCTTGTGGCTCTTTTAAAGGTGATGAGGTTAGCAATCGTATTAGATATAAAACTATAATTCAATATGGCGGACATGCATAGATCTCTGAGTTTTGAAGTGGGATGGCAGATCCAACATTCAATCAAATTACCAGTGCTAGTTACTGACTGGCCTAATTGAACTTTAAAAGTATGAATAGGAATTACTGAAAGTAGTGCAATAAAACAAGGGAAAACTGCTAAATAAATAAAACAAATAACAGCTCCTTCAGTCACCTGCATGAGAAAAATGAAATGTTACCAGGGGATATCATAAATAAGGGAGACTTGCAGGTGTAGTGGGTTACAAGTCGGCCTGCTGACCTTCAGGTCACCAGTTTGAAACCACCAGCTGCTTCACAAGAGAAGAGGCTTTCT